CAAGGCCAGCTGCTGAACACCGAGAGCCCAGCAAGCTCCCACAATCCAGCCAAAGGAGGGACGGCTGCACATCCGGTGCATCGGAAAACCCTCGGCACGTTGGGAAACCCCACGGCAGCGTCAGTGTGCCCAACACCCAGCCTGGCGGAGCTGGGGGCAGGGGCCTCTCGTTTCCTGCCGGGATAAAGCCTGCCAGAGCAGGGGCTGGCGGGTGTGCTGCTGCTGCGGCTCCTGCAGGAAGTGTCCTGCAGGATAAAGTAAAGGAGAGGCTGGGGAGCAGGAGGGAGGGGACACAACGGCCGGGTAGAGTGACACGTGGGGTGTCAGCCACCAGCACAGGTGGTGCCCCATGGGTACTTACAGGGACCCTCTCACACAGAAGCAATGCCAAAACACCTCCCTGATAACAAGAGAGGTTGGTGGGTAGGAAAAGAAAGGGTGCAAATTTGATTCCTGACAAGAGCAGGCACAGGGAGTTTGTTTGCCTCTGTTTGGCTTTCCTCAAGTCAGTGGTTTCGGAGGGGAGCTCTTCCCAAATAACCTGGGCTCATGGAAAGAGAACTGGTGCTTCAGCCCTGGGTGTAAGAGACTGGAGCATGCACAGTGGTGAGATTAAACCCAAGGGGAATCTGCGGAATAGCTGCTCCTCCCTGACTGAAACTGGCCGTGTCCTTTGTACACATCAGACTTTGAACTGAAATTAAATACCTCCAGAGACACACTAGCTTCATTCTGCACTCCTCCTGAGCCAGGAAAGGGAGATTTACCTGGAAACACGCGATGCCAAAGGAGATTCCAGCCACAATGCTCATTTTGGACTCCATAGTTGACATTACCAGGAAAAAACAACCCTGCAGAGGAGGGAAAGCAAGCATATGGGTCCAGTGCTTTTTACTCCCAGGAGTACAAAGCAGCACCTCCCCAGAGCACCCACAGCAGGAGCACGGAGTTGAGCAAGGTGACTCATCAGAGGAACACGCCTTGCATCATCCAACCATCCCTGTGGGATGAGGTCACCTGTGCTCACCACCAGGTCAGGACTTTGCACCAATGGGAGGTGTCACCATTACCGAAATAAACTTTACTGGGAAACTACTTCCTGACTCACCTGTTCTCCAAAACACACAGCCCCAAGTGCCAGTGTTTGGGTCCAGCTGGTCCCTGACCTCCAAGGAAGGAGTGGGGGGACCTGAGACAGTAGAGAGGACTCCAAACCCTTCCCCTACCTGCACTCCAGGGGAGTCTCTGGGCCACAGACCAGTTGCACTGATAGAACAGTTCTCCTTTTAAGCCTCCCAGGGACAGACTAGCCCTTCTCCACCTGCCCATCCCTGCCTCCAGGACTGGCAGTGGGATTTTTCTGAGCTTAACTTACATCCACAAACACTTTCAGCTTGGCCTTGTTCGGGTCTTTCAGATCTTTCTCCGAGCAGTCGTTCGGGCGCTTGCAGCAGCTCTGGGGGATGCCCTTCTGGCTGAAGTATTCAGTCCTCTCCCAGTCCGAGTAGTTCTGCACCCCACAGCAGTGCAGCTGGAGGGGGAAGCACATTTGGGGAGCGTGGTCACACCAGGGTACTGATCCCCTAGTCCCACCACCACTCCCATGGGTTCCCAGGGAACTTGCTTCTCCAGGAACTGCGGGATCTCATCCAGCATCTGTGAGATGGTGCACGTATGCCGTGACACTGATGGTGACATATGGTGACACCGATGCTGTGGGGGGTCCCAGGGGACACCCTGGGGCGAGGGGAGCATTCCCACCTGATGCCAGCCAGACACCAGCCTGGAGTACTCACCGTCCTCTGGATGGTGTCGACGGCCTCGCTGTGCCGATCCGCAGTCACGTTGTAGTTCTCCAAGGCCAGGTTCAGGTTACTCTCAAAGTTTGTCTTAATCTGCAGGAGAAAGGTCTCAGTGGTGGTGCCGTGCTCTCCCACGCTCCGGGACCCACGTCCCCACATTAGTCACCGCTCCATGATGGCAGGAATGACTCCGGCTGTGGCCAGCAGACACTTCCCAGCCACCAGGCAATTAGAGGCTGTATTAAAGGGCAGCTGGATACACTGTGGCAGCAGGGATGCTGCATGTAATAACAAGGACCTGCGCAGTGCCAACTCCCCCCCAAGCAGGCTGCTCTGTGGCGCAGGAACCCTCTGAGGAGCTTTAATTACTGAAATTATCGCAGAAGATAGATCAGAGCCAGAAATTACAGTCCAGGGCTACTCTGCCAGTTCTGGTGGAGGGGCAGCGTGCCGTGCTGGGCTGACCCTGCACCTAGGCTCATCCTTCTGGGTCCTTACAGGGACCAAGTTCCTCTTTGGGCTGTTTTAACACCATTTCTGCTAAGCTAAGCACCACTCCCAGCAGCACCTCTGTCCCTCCAGCGACACCTGCAACTGCACTTGGGTTAAAACCAGCATCAAACTCACTCCGAGATGGCAGCGGCCACCCAGACTCACCTCGTGCCTGAAGACAAAACCCACGACGGCGGCCACCAGGACGATGAGGAAGATGAGGGACAGGAGCATGGCATACTGCGGGCAGAAAGGGTGGGATGGGAGGGGGTGGATTGGATGGGGTAGGACGGGATGGGATGGGGTAAGATGGGATGGGACGGCATAGGATGGGACGGAATGGGGTAAGATGGGATGGAACGGGGCTGGAACAGGGGGAGTTGAGACAGGATTGGATGTGGAAGGGATGGGGTTTGAACAGGGCAAGTTGGGATGGGAGGGGATAGGGATGGGGTAGGGAAGGATGGGACGTTTCGGGATGGATCAGGGCAGGTCAGGATGGATTAGGAGAGGATGGGACCCCATCCCGCCCTGTCTGGGGCCACCCACCAGCTTGAGCATCCAGGTGCTGCCGCGGCAGGTGGCAAAGCAGCCAAAGGTGCCCAGGAGGACAACGACGGTGCCGGCGCCCACCAGGACGAAGGGGACGTTGGTGGCCTTCTCGTCCAGCAGGGAGAAGTAGACGGCCAGGCTCACCTTGCCCCAGACGCCCACGGCCAGCAGCACAATGCCCGACACCTGGGGAGAGGGGAAAGCTGCCGTGGCTACCGACTGTCACGACAGAGCGGCGCGGCCGCGACTTGTCGCGGGGGCTTGGGCGGGGCGGGGTGGGCGCTCACCCAGAAGATGAAGGTGTAGGTGAGCAGGACGCTCTTGAGGCAGGTGATCACCGGCTTCGTCTGCAGCCGCCGCGACGGGGACGCCATGGCCGACACTGGGCGACTGCCGGGACCGGGGCCGGGGCGGGGCCGCGGGGACACGCCCCGGACACGCCCCTGGGCGGGGCCGGTCCCGCCCCACCCGCCGGAGGGGCCCGAGCGCTCACGGAAAGGGCCGAGCGCGTAGGAAGAGCGGAGCCCCTGCCCCTCGGGGTACCGGTGTCACACCCCGAGCGGTGCCACCCCCTGTCCGGTGCCACCTTCTGCCTGCCCCGTGTCACTCCCTGCTCGTTTCCTGCCATTCCCTGCCCGGTACCGCCCGCTGTCTGGCCCGTGTCACCCCTGTCCAGTGTCACCCCCTGTCCAGTGTCACCCCCTGTCCAGTGTCACCCCCTGCCTGTTTCCTGCCATCCCCTGTCCGGTGCCTGTCCCGTGTTACCCCTCCGGTGCAACGCCCTGTCCTGTGTCACCCCCTGCTTGGTGCCACTCGCTGTCCAGTGTCGCCCTCTGCCTGTCCAATGTCACCCTCTGCCTGTTCCCTGCCACGCTCTGTCCGGTGCCACCGCCTGCACCATGCCGCCGCCTGCCCGCCTCGTACCACCCCCAGCCACCTCCCACCTGCCCCGCGCCACCCTGTGCCACTCGCTGCCCGACCCATGCCACCATTTCTTGCCTCCCCGGTGCCACCTCCTGCCTGCGCCGTGACACCCTCCACCTTCCCTGAGCCACCTTCTGCCCGATGCCAACCAGTTCCTGCTTTCCTGCCCCAGCGGCTGCCGATGCAGCCCCAGCCCCAGAAGGGGGGGCCCTCCTATCCAAGTGTCCAACAGGAGAGCCACCTCGTGGCCCAGCACATGGCAGTACCACCGTGCCAACAAGCGACGGGCTTCCTGCCCTCCGTGGGGTGAGCACCCCCACCCCCTCCCAGGGATGTCGCCGGGCTGCAGGGGCCCGTGGGCTCCCCACAATCGGCAGCAGCAGCCCCTCCTGGCAGCCCTCTCCTGCTCAGGACAGCGTTGTTAATCAGTGCGCTCACTGGCCTGGCCGCCACATAATTAGCCCATTGAGGCAGCACGTCCTCCCCCCCTCACCACCCCACGCCAATGTTCCTACCTGTCTGTGCCAGGCTCACCCTTCGTTTTTCCTTGCCCATGCAGTCCCGTGTTCCAGAGCCCAAATCCCAGGTGGCTCCAGCTCCCTCCTGACCCCAACCCCCGTGGGATGTGGGGCGGTGGGTCCTAACGAAGGCATTTCGTTACCTCTGCCTCGCGGAGGCTGAACTTCAGCTGGAAAACAGACCCCAGCTGGAAGCGCTTGCCTCATGAGCAGTTTCAGAGCCCGCCGTCTGCAGCAGAGTCTCTCCCTCCCTCCTAGAAAGAGGTGGGAAAAGGGTCCCGGCTCCTGCGGTTTTGTGCTTGTCCCCCCCGTTGCCGGAGCCCGGCAGGGCTGACAGAGGCTCGGCTTGGCTCTTTCCTGTGTTTAAACACGCTCCTGGCTCTTCTGCTTGCAAAGAAAAACCTCTTACAACTTTTTAAAGCCTCGGAGGAGCAGGAGGAGCATCGGAAAACGGGCGATCCTAGGACTTGTAATTTTTTACAATCTCATCATTTTGGGCCTGACTCACGGCTTTTGAATGTTTGGGACGGGCAGCCAAGGGGGAAAGTAAGTTTACTCAGCACCAGCAGCACAGCCAGGCAGGGGAGACAGGCGTCTGTGTGGTGACCAGGCGACGCAGGGGGCCATCGTCCTGCTTCCAGCCCCTCTCCATCCTCGTCAGGGCTCGCGGCTGCCCCTGGACCCAGCACGGCAGGTGGGCTGCCCGGCCCCCCGACCCCCAGCATGGCGCAGGAGGCAGCCCCCGTCCTCCTGGTTGTCCTCGCCAGGCTGGTGTCATCCACGTGGCACGAAGGTGAGTGCGGGCACAGCGGGGCTCCCGGGGATGGCAGCCTGCAGGGTCCCTCTCCCGTCGGGGGCTCGTGCTGGGGAGGGAGGGAGGGAGGGTGTCCGAGCGATGCCGGGAGAGCATCAGTGCCTGGGGGTACTGGGTGCTTGCGGGTGTACGCTGAGAGGTGCAGGGAGGAACTGAGTGGGTGCTGGAAGGCATCCAGAGAGGAGCAGAAAACCAGCCTCTCCATCACACCCCTGCCTGCAGGAGCGCAGATTCTCCCTGACTCCTTGCTCCCACGGGAGCCATCGGTCAGCAGATGTTTGCCTGAATGGAGCACTCAATCCCAACCGCCCCACGGCTGGGCAGCTGGATCAAGGGTTGCAAGCCTTGTTTGGGGGTTTTCCCCCTTCCCTGCTTCTATCCCCTCCCCTGGCCGTGCTGCCAGCACGCCTGGCTGGGGATGCTCCTGCCCGGTGCAGCCGGGGCTGCGAGCTGACCCCAGGTGAGAAGGAAAAGGCAGCACCTCTATAAAAAGGGAACATCCCATTAAATGGCACATTTGCCTGTGGGGACACAGTGCACGCCGTCCCCAGGGCCCCAGGGGGGAGCTTGGCATGTGCCCCTGGGAAACAGCCCTTCTCACCAGGTCACCAACACATCCCCACGGCCAGCCCCGCGGGCACCATCACTGGGCTCTCCCCCGGCTCCTCCGCTCTCCAAGGCACCACGGCAGTGTGGGAAGGGCATCAGGACAAAAGGCTTGTGAACAATGAGTGGGCGACTTGTGGGAAGCAGTAGGGAGTCACTTTATAGTAAAAGTTCGCGTCTGAAAGATTTGCAATGGAGTTTCCTCCCCGTGACGGCAGGGCTGCTGCTCGGATTGGTCCCGGCGGATATCCCCTTCCCAAAACACAGGACAGGGAGAAGAGGAGATGATTGGGTGCAACCACAGCGGGGCTGCCGCTTCTCCTGGGGTCCTTTCCCAGGCTGAGCATCCCCGCCATGCCGGAGAGGGGAGCGCAGTGGGGTGGGCTGGCGGCGAGGAGGGGGCAGCGCTGGCGGGGCCCAGCGGAAACGCGGCGGAAACGTGAGCTCAGTGCTCGGGAATGCCGCGGCCGGCCGAGGCGCCGAGGGGCCGCGGGTAAGGAAGCCAGCCCTCTCCCCCTGCACGGCTCTCTCCCCACTGGCGTGTCCCTTGCCCATGAAGACATAGTGTGGGCTAGAGGGTGGCCCGCAAGGATGGCGCAAGGCTGTCTTCACCCCATCCGGGGGGCCCCTCTGCGCAGCATGGATGGCGTGAGGCCAGCAGCTCCGGCCAAGCCTCTCCAGTAGCTTCATCCTTCCTTGAAGCACAGGCAAGGGGTTGCATCCCCTCCAGCCCCCTGAAGGGGGCTGGGCAGTGTGCTTCTCATCCCTTGCTTTGGCCAGGGGATGGGCAGGAGAGAGCAGCCTTCTTCCTTCTCTCGGCATGCCCCGTGGCAGGAATGGTGCCATGGGACCGTGTGGAAGGACTTCCCAGCAGCACGAAGCTGGGGGTCGGTGCCAGCCCACTCCGTGCCAGCACCCGTTTCCTGCCATAACCACAGTTGCTTCTGCCACTGTTTAGTCTGCGGCTGGTGCCAGCACAAACCATGTCACTGGGGACTGTGCTCACAGTGTGCCGGGCTTAACCCTTGACAGCAGCCCCAAGGATACAGGACAGGGTCTGCCTGGAGATGGGATTGCTTGTTGGGGATGTTTTGCAGCCACGAACAACCCCACAGCCCCCTTGACTCTTTCCTCCTCCCCAGGGTCTGGCTACTACACAGAGAGTCACACCAATGAGGTCTATGCAGAAGAAACCCCCCCTGAGCCTGCCCTGGATTACCGTCGAGGTAATGGCACCCAACCCGTCCTTTGGGTCCTCATGGGGAAACTGAGACACAGTGGGGGCCTCCCTCACCTTCCTCCTCTCCCGCAGTGCCCCAGTGGTGTGCCACACTCAACATCCACCGCGGAGATGCCACCTGCTACTCACCCCGGGGCAGCTCCTACCGCAGCAGCCTGGGGACACGCTGCGAGCTGAGCTGCACCCGCGGGTACCGGCTGGTGGGTTCCAGTGTGGTCCAGTGCCTGCCCAACCGCCACTGGTCTGGGATGGCGTACTGCCGACGTGAGTGTGCCCAGCTCCTGCTTTGTCAGCACCTCCACAGGCCCCCCAGAGGCCAGTCCTGGGTGCTCTGCCCACTCACATGGCTGGCTGCCACTTCCCTCCCCTCTTTGCTCTCTCCATCCCAGAAATCCGATGCCATGTGCTGCCAGCAGTGCTGCGGGGCTCCTACGTGTGCTCAGCGGGAGTGCAGATGGATTCCCGCTGTGACTACACCTGCCTGCCTGGCTACCAGCTGGAGGGCGACCGGAGCCGCATCTGCATGGAGGACGGGCGCTGGAGTGGGACCGAGCCAATCTGTGTAGGTAAATTTTCAACCCATGATTCTGAGGCACACAGGGGCCTGTCACCCTTCATCCCTGGGGTGTCTGCAGGTGTCACCCCACATCCAAAATGGGTATTGCCAGGTGCCAGCTCTTGCACCTCCCCATCGTAGGACCCCTGGTCCCTCTGCTCCCCATGGTGCCATTAGCCCCGAAGCACAGGCACCAGCCCAGGATTGGGCACCCAGCACTGGCTTTACAGCAGTTCCCAATGGCTCCGGTGTGCTTGGCTATGTGCAGCATCCCTGTGGTGGTTCAGTGCTGGGGTTGGTGCCTGGCTCTTGTAGCCCAGCCCCAGCATCCACAGGTTCCCCAACACCCTCTCCTCCCTGTGGGCAGACCTGGAGCCTCCCAAGATCCGCTGTCCAGACTCCCGGGAGCGGATAGCCGAGCCAGGCAAGCTGACTGCAACTGTCTACTGGGACCCTCCTCGCGTGAAGGACTCTGCTGACGGCGTCATCAAGAGGTGAGGGTGGAGGTGCCGCAGGCACTGCCAGCAAGGGCTGGAGGCTATGGGGGCCTGATGGAGAAACCCGTCTGCTGGGTTCAGGGTGATGCTGCGGGGCCCAGAGCCAGGCTCTGAATTCCCTGAAGGAGAGCATGTGATCCGCTACACCGCCCACGACCAGGCGTACAACCGAGCCAGCTGCAAGTTCAGTGTCCGTGTCCAAGGCAAGTGGGCTCCCCCGGGGCTCCCAGCTGCCTCTCCCATGGCTTCAGGCTCCACACCCCATGGCTGGGGCTGTGCTCCATCACCCCCAGCTCTCATCCAGCTCCCCTCTTCGCAGTGAGGCGCTGCCCTGTCCTGAAGCCTCCACAGAACGGGTACATCTCCTGCACCTCCGACGGCAACAACTACGGTGCCACCTGCGAGTACCTGTGTGATGGGGGCTACGAGCGCCAGGGCACCTCTCTACGGGTCTGCCAGTCCACGCAGCAGTGGACGGGCTCCCAGCCCCTCTGCACACGTAAGTGGTGTGGGAAGGGCAGGACCTGCCCATGGCAATGCCTGGCAGTTTGAGGGGATGCTGCCCAGCAGAGTGAAGGGGTGATGGGGGGCACAATGGCACCTCTGCACACCCTTGTCTTGCCCCAGCCATGCAGATCAACACAGCTGTGAACTCAGCCGCCAGCCTGCTGGATCAGTTCAACGAGAAACGCCGCCTCCTCGTCATCTCGGCCCCCGACCCCTCTAACCGCTACTACAAGATGCAGATCTCCATGCTGCAGGTGAGGAGAACCTCCTGCTGCTCTTCTTCCTACCTCTGCCTCCATCGCACCCTCACTGCCCCCTTCCTCCACAGCAAGCCGCCTGTGGGCTGGACCTGCGCCATGTCACCATCATTGAGCTGGTGGGGCAGCCCCCACACGAGGTGGGACGCATCCGGGAGCACCAGCTGTCCCTTGGCATCATCCAGGAGCTCAGGTAGGGCAGATGGGAGGCTGTCCTGCAGAGCCTGTGCGAAGGCACCGGGAATGGGGAGACCTCTGGGGATGGCAGAGCGTGAGGTTGCGATTGGATTCGTGGATAGTCCCTTCCTTCTGCACCAGAGGGGCTTGTGCAATGGGAGGACCCCCCAGCAAGTCTGAATGTAGCATCACCAGAGCCCCACAGTGCTCACAGCCCCAAGGAAGAAGTGGGAGCCCCCACTTCAGGAGGACCTGAAGTGGGCAGGCTCAGCCCTCAGTGCAACCCCCCAGCCCTGACCGGTGACCCCTCCTGTGCCCCCAGGCAGTTCCTGCACCTCACCCGCTCCCACTTCAACGCGGTGCTGTTGGACAAGGCAGGCACTGACCGCGAGCGCTACATCGCCCCCGTCAGCCCTGACGAGCTCTTCGTCTTCATCGACACGTACCTGCTGGGCGAGCGGGAGGCGGCTCGGCGGGAGCAGAACGGGGACCCCTGCGAGTGAGCCAGCGCCGGGGAAAACCCTCCCTCCACTGCCCTCAGAGGATGGACACCTTCCTTTCTGCTTTTCTAGTCGCCCACCATAGAGGAGAAACAGGGTGCCAAGGACCCCCGGGGAAGGGGAGCCCGTCTCTGGCTGTTCTGGCACAGAGAGGTGAACAGGGATGAAGACAGGGGCCGTGTGCCAGCAGTGGCCCCACTGCCCAGCAGACAGGAGCTCTCTGGCTGAGGGGTTGGATGGCTCAGCTTGGCCAGGACCGTGGCGGGAGACACCGGATTGCCCTGGTCAAATCCCAGGGCAGGGGGGAGACATGGAGCCAGAGCAGAGGAGAGCAGGTAGGGCAGCAGTGCAACAGCCTCTAACACAGCAGCTTCAGCCTCCCCATGGCCACCCTCACCCTGTGCACAAACCTCCCATCCAGAAAGCCCTTATTAAAAGCAAATGGCCCCACCTTCAGCAGAGCCGGTAGCAGCCAGCCAGGAATGCAGCCCACCCTGAGGGCTCGCCCTCCCCACTGCCACTTGCTTCCCCCTCCCACCACCCACAGGGCACCCTTCCTGGGAACTGCTTTGGCAGTAGAATATTAACTTGAAATAAATAAATTTGTATAAAAAGTCTGTGCTGGCAGATGTGTTGCTGAGAGGCCCAGAAAACAAATGTTTCCTGGGGACCACGACCCCTGGTGCCCCCAGGCTGACCCCACATGGTTCCATCCTGGTCCCTGCAGCCAGGGCTGGGGCTGGGCTGTGCACAGTGAGGAGGATGGAGACAACAGGGAGGGAGCAGACTGTGAAACAGAAAGGGTGGGAGAAAGAAGAATGGAAAGAAATACAAACCCAATGACATTTCAAAGCATTTTGCCTCAGGGGGGAAAAGGGAGGGTCCACCAGGACTTCAGTTCAGCCTGAAATGTGGTGCAAGGCTTATGACAAAAGGAAAACCCTTTAAATGAAGCTAGGCCAAGAAGACTTTCTGCCCAAGCCTGTTTAGAGAAGGTCATGTTTATTAAAGAAGAAAAAAGAATACCACAACCCACGTTTGGCAGCCCTGCCAAGCCCTGCAGTGAGAGTGGCTCCGGAGCAGCGGTGCCAGTCCTCAGCCGAGTCCAGGTGCTGGTGCCACAGCCTATGGCCTCAGCTTGGCCATGGTGGAGCGGAGCTGGAGTGTCCCCTCTGCCCAGGAGCCTGGATACTGGCACATCTTCTGCCACAGGTTCAGCTCCTCGCCCATGGAGTCCATCCAGTCCACAGCCTGCCCATTGCTCATGCCTGGGAGAAAGGATGGAAGAGGGCAGAAGTCACTGCCAGAGCAGGCTCCTGCTCACAGTGCAGCAGCTCCAAGAAAGGCTGCTTGTCCCTAGGGTCTGATGGGACCACAGGGCTCCTCACCATTGCCCACCCCTAGACGGACACCCCCAAGGAAGTCGTTGCTGGACAGTGGCTCCCGGTCCCAGACTGTCAGCTCCAGGCAGATGTGCTGCAGGTCCTCAGGTTTGATACCATTGTAGACAAAGGTGTGGTTGTAATGAGGGTTCAGGGTCTTCTTCACCACAGGCGTCTTCCTCTTGGAGGCTTTGTTTTTGTGTGGCAGGAGGTAGCTGGGGGAAGCAATCCCTTGGGTTAGCAGCACAATGGGCAACTGCCTTCTGCTCCGGGGGCTGGGGTACCTCAGCACCCCCGGACCTGGCCTGGAGCTGCTCTTTCCACCTTCTCTGACAGAGCCTTTCACCACAACCTCTCAATCAGCCAAAATCCAGGAGAGCACCTGGTATCAGGAGCATCTTGTCTCTGGTCAGACAGTGACTCTCAAGGTACCAACACAGGCAGTGCAGGGCAGCTAACGGAGAGACCCTGCCCTCCTCCAGGTCCCCATGGCAGCACTGAAAATATAGCCAGGGAGGACAGTGCCTTCATTGCCCACCCCCCCAGGACTCTCACTCACCCCTTGACAAAGCTGTCTGAGGTCCCCCCAGATTTGGCAGCTGTGAGGTTCTTGGCTTCTTTGATCCAGACCTGGAGCTCACCACCTTCCCCCGTTTTGCCTAGGAAAAACCCAACACATCAGTTAACCAACTTTAATTTCCACCACCACAAACTTCGGGAAAGGTCCTGCTGAACACCCTTCATCCCAGGGGCATGTACAGAGCCCGGGATGCCATTTCCTCTTGCCTTCTCCCCTACTGGCCCTGCCTGCTGAGGTGAAGGTGGACAATTGCTTCATGAAGGTCCAGTCTGGTCCAGCCCCAAGGAAGCACTGGGATGGCTCAGCCAGACTGAGGACAGCCAGCTCTGCCCTGACCCAGAGCAGCCTTGCAGGTGCTGGAGAAGGCTGCAGTGACACTACCCCAGAGCCAGATCACGTGGCCACAAGCAGATCCTGCAAGGCTGCACAGACATCCTGGAGCTCCAGCACTCACCTTTCCTGCCATTCCCAGCCCCGGGGTGCTTGACAGATGGGATGTACTTCATGGAGACAACCAACTCTCCCTTGTACTGGTGGAGACCAGCAGCATCTGCCCCAGTCTGCAAAGGAGATGAGACTTACCAAACACTGCAGAGAGGCCACGGCAGACACAGTGACAGCCTGGCCTGTGTGCAGCACCTTCCCAGGCTGGGACAAAGGGCTTGGCTTCTCCTAGATGTGACTGAGCTGGCATAAGTGCTTGCAAACCCTCCCCAGCATCACCAGATCACCCCAGCTCCTTTGGGATCTTATTTTGGCTCAATCACCTGAGGAACAGCCAGGAAACTAGGCTTGAGGCAGAAGATCTGCCCTTTTTTATGATAGCACTGCTGTCTACTTCTGGGCTGTTCACTTCTCCAGAGATTTGGCACGAGCCTTTTGGCAGCTCCCAGCTGTCTCCACACCCCTCTGCCCACAGAGGGCTATACCCCTCACCAGGGCCAGGCAAGGGAAGCTGCGGGCAGCAGGGGCACACCTTGCCATGCAGGAGCAGGAACTCCTCCAGGTGGCTGTCAAAGTTCCAGGCATCCAGTGGGACTTCCACCTCCCCCAGGAACGTGTTGCGGCCAAAGCGATCGTGGTGCCAGACCGAGAACTGCAGTGTCCTCGTGAGCAGGAGGGACTTGCTAATCTCGTACTAGGGAGAGAGATAGGAAAACCCCTGGTGAGCAGGCAGCAGCAGGCAGGGACAGACTTGGCAAACACCATCAGCCACAGCTCTCGATCAGGAAAGAAACAAGTTTGAGGAGCAGTGGATGCACACAGGAGTCTGTTCTTCTTTCCATGCCTGCTGAAACCTCAGAGTCCTGGGGCAGTGGTGCAGGAGCCCATGCTCTCCAGACAGACAGACCTCAGAGCCAGGCACCTGTCCACCCATCCCACAACACACAGAGCTCTGCCAGCCCACAGGGCCTCAGGGGGTCAGAGCATAAGACCTTAGTAAACCTGGCTGTGAGAGCCTAAAAACCAAACCACAGCTCCCACTTCCTCCTGTCTGAGAGTGCCTGGCCTCAGCAATGCACTGCCAGGCTCAGGGACAGAGTCAGCCAGTCACACCACCCCAAAGTGGCTGCAGCAGGGCTGGTGAAGGACAGTGCAAAGTTGTTCTGCCCTGGGGCCCAGAACTGCCTTACTTCTGCCTCTGCAGCTGTGCTGCTCTCCCACCAATGTAACCTGTTTCCAGGGGCCTGGAAGCCTTTGCCACGGAAGGAAATGCCCAGCGTAAGTAGGATGCCCCTGCGGAATGCCAGAGGAACCAGGGACATGCCCTGTGACATGTTTACATCTGCAGCTGTGCCTTCACCGCACCACGGCACTGGGACTTGACACCAGGGCCAGACCAGAGCAGGACTGACTACCTGCACCCCAATCCATCCCTGCTCACCTTCAGCAGCTCATTGTACAGGGGGTTGATGGTGTTGCGTTTGATTGTTGTCTTGCGTTTCCCCTGCCGGGATTTGTCAGGCAGGAGGTAGGTCTTCACGTACCTGCAGGGAGGAGCAAGCAGCACTTCACCAAGGTCCCCACACAATTAACCCCGTCCGAGCTCCCCAGGGCAACCCCAGACTTCCTGCCTTGTCAAGACCTCCCCACTTACAGCTCCCACCTCTGGCGGACACCCCACAACCCAGGTGGGCACCACCAGTGGTGTCACCAGCCATCGCCCCCCCGGCTCTCACGGGTTGGAGCGCTTCCTGCCCTCGTCCCCGTAGGCCAGCTGGCGACACTCCTTCACGTGGATGAACAAGGTCTGCGTCTTCTGCTCATAGCTCAGGGAGAAGGAGATGCCTCCAGTGACTGCCACACTGCCAAAGTCACCAGCCTCGCTGTAAATGCTGACCATGCTCCCCAGCGTGCTCTGGAAGACATGGCAGGGCTCAGCTGGCACACCATCACTTGATGGTCCCTCTTCATCTTCAGCAAGACTACTACCTCCTCCATACAGCCCCTCTCACCCTCTGTGCCTGGGGATGGCCACTGAGTGCCTCCCACCTGCATGGAGGCTCCCCAGAAGAGAGTTGGGTCTCTGCATTTCAATTCCCTTCAAGGGGAGGAAGCCCCCATGCCTCAGGCTCTTGCCTCTGCACCACCCTGCCTTTCTCCCACCTAACCCATTGGCACTGCCTTTCTCCATCATTACTCCCTGCAGCGGGGCAGAGCATGGCCACACCAGGGGGACTCACCGAGGAGGTGCCACTGCGCATGCTGCCCCGGGCCACCCGCTGCCGATGGATCTCCACCAGGTTATCAATGTCCTCCTCCTCCTCCTCCTGAAAGGAGGGAGACAAGTCAACTGTGTGGGGAGCAGGAGGGCACAGCCAGCCAGATACCCAGCTCCTCCACCACAGCATGCCAAAGGTCTCACCAGCTCCGTGTTGAGGCCAGGGACCGACTTGCTCCTGTCCCCCAAAGATCCACCATCCCCCATGAAGTCCTCGGGGCGCAGGTCGATCACCGACTTGGTGTAGTCTGCACAAGAGGTGGTGAGCAGGAGGCAGCAGCACAGAGCAGGACTAGCAGAGCCCTGCTGCTCTCTCAAACAAGGGACTGCCCCAGCCTCTCCCATCAGCACCAAAAGCTCACCTCAGCCCAGGGAGAAGCAGCTGCCCACCCCTGGCCGTGCTGGCACCCAAACCCCCTGCACCCCTGCAGCTCTCACCTGCAGGCCTCACCACCCGCCGCGGGTTCTTCTTGAATATCGTTTCATGCTCGTCCACCAAGGCGCTGCTGCGGGTCCCTGCAGTGGCATCCTGGGGAGGAGAGGTCCCGTCAGAGCAGGGCAGGGCTGGGCACCCCACAGGACTCCCGGCCCCATGCCCCAGGACAGGGCTGGGCCTGCTGGAGCAGCGTCACACACCCGTCCGTCGGAGTAAGCGTTTTTGGAGCGGAGAGGGAGGGTCAGGCTGGAGGCAGCAGGTCCTGCTGGTGCAGCAACCTGTTTTCCAGGGATGGCTCTCTCCAGGGAGTTACTCCTGCAGAGGACACAGAAAGGTCTGTCCCAGGCCACAAGCCCAGCTGGGAGAGCAAGTACTGGCTGGAAAGTACCATCTCCACACAGGCTCCCTGGAGGGACATAAGCTCCCTATAGCACGCCAGCCTGGGAGCAGAGGACATGCCTGCCCAGGGACAAGTTTCAGCCTAGCCAAAGGAGCTAGCTCCCCCTCACTAGAGCAAGAAAAACACACTTCAGATGAAAGTCCTCATTCTTTGCCAGCCAGTCTTGCCAAGGACAACCCATCTGGGGAGCCCCTCACCTGCCCCCCCCATCACCAGGACTAGATCTGTAGCCATCCAGGCTCATGTTTTCCATGGACTCTGTGTCACTTTTGCCATCCCGAGGGTCTGAGGCATCTGGAAACAAACTGCAGACAAACAAAACCACAGGTATGTCCTGTTTGGCAAGGAAGTTGGTCTGAGAGAGTTTCTGTGCCACCGATAATCCAAGCAGGGCGGCACCATCGCTCCCATCCCCGCAGCAGATGAGGGCTGGTGCCTGGAGCAGGTGGGACAGCAAGGATTCTTACCTGGACCCCTCCCGGGGTGCAGGGGGGCTCGGCTGCCGGGCTGCAGAGGAGCTTTTGGGCTCGCTAAGCTGAGCTTTCTGGAGGAGAGTTTGTCCTACAGTCTCTCTTTTGCTGGCTGGAAGGAGAGAGGCATCAGGAGGACCCCTGCTCCAAGCCAATTGCCTGAAGCAGGAGCTGCTCCCATCCAGCTCCACACTGTGCAAGGTGCACCGGGGAAAGGGGGAGCATCCCAGATGGCTGAGCTGTGGGAGGAGGAGTTGCTGTGGCACCCCTACCTGTCGGCCTGTGCCGCAGGGACAGCCGCACCATGTCGCTGCCCAGGTGGTTGGCGAAGCGGTTGACCCTCTGGTCGTAGAACCAGTCACCCGTTGTCTTCTTCAGCTCACTGCAGGGCAGGGAGGTGGGGGGGGCAGTCAAGGGCAGTGGGGGGCTGATCCTTGCACCCCAACCCACCCTTGGTGCTCCCACCACCCAAGGAGAACACAGACACAGTGGGCATGATCAGCAGGCGACTGGGCAGAGACAATTCACTGGGCAGTTGACGGGCTCAGCTACGTCCCCAGTAAATATGGGAGCAAGACAGGTTTTATAGGACAGGGGAGGCCAAGAAGGAGGAAACCTGGGATACTTGAAACACAGGCTGTGCAAGGGGAACTGGGGGATGCTCGAGTCAAGTAAAGGGGGGGGAAAGGAGTGAGGAGGGCATGGAGGAGACACAAGATTGGGGTGTGACTAAATTCTCCATCACCCAACCATGGGAATCCACTCCAGGAGCAACAGCAGAGCCAGCTGTCCTGCAGTGAAAAGGACTAGGCTAGGAAAGGCCAGACATGGGGCATCAAGCTGGGGAGACTGGGAAGAGGAAGGGAACAGGAAGCACATGCAGAAAGTCTCTGCCACTTGTCCGCAGGTACTCACGCCTCCTTGGTGCAGACTTTGCAGCGCCAGGAGCTGTTGGGGCTGTAGGAACGGCAGTCCCGACACACCAAGTGGTTGCAGCCCCGGCACGTGTTGGCCTTGGGGCTGACACGGCTCAGGCTCTGCTGGCAGCGGGCGCAGGTCCGCTCGCTGTACCGCTGGCTGCCCCGCTTGGCTCCCTTGCGCCGGATCTCCAGCAGCTCATTCTTCAGGCGCCTGCTCAGACCCGACACCGGGAGCTGTCAGAGCCGCCCCGGGGAACCCCCATCACCAGCACTCTCACTCCTCCACCCACTTCCAGAGCAAAGCAGGGAACCAGCTCCTGCCCAGCCCCAGCCATGTCCACACCTGATTCTCCTCTCCTCTGCTTTACGGAGCTCCTCGTCGCGCTGCAGGACCTGCAGGATCAATTCTCTCTCCACGTCTGACAGGAAGGACAGATCCACGGCTTCCGACATCGCTGCACCCGGGATCGCCGGCCCTGGCCAGATGTGTCCGTGCTAGGGACATGCCAGCCGCTAAGCCCGGCGGCTCCCGCCCCGCGAGGTGCTCCGTGAGCGCTCCCCGGGCTGGACCGGATCGCGGCACCCGGGACAGCGGTCCGCCCGCCGCCTCCGCCGCCCTGCTCTGGGCTGGGCTCGGGCCGCCTGCCAGCCCCGCCGCCCCGGTGACCTCAGCCGGCTCCGTGGGACCGCGCTGACGCCCAGCACCCGCGGGCAACCCCGGCAGGAAGGAGCCGCCCCGGGCTGCCGCTCCCACGAACGCAGCGGGGCCCGGAGCTGCCCGACCCCCGCGGAGCCGCCGGGAGCGGACACGCTCCAGGAGCCGCGGCGGGGGCAGGATCCGGTCCGGAGGCGCCGGCACCGGGACCCGGGTGGCCGCGGCCGCTCCAGCCCCGAAGGAGCAGGGGCGCCTGCTCGGGGGGCTGCAGCTCAGCCCGCTGCCCACTCGGGACCGCCGGCACAGCCGGGACGGAGCTTCCCGTCCCCGCAGCCGCGCCCCGGGGAACAGGGGGCGGTGGGACGGACCCCGGGCTCCTCTCTCGGGGGAGTCCGGGGCCGCCGGCACCGCGCTCGCAGCGCGGCCACCGGGGCAAGCACCGACCCCGACCCGGGACACCCGCGGCTCGACCCCCCAACTACAGAGGGACACCCGGAACCCGCCGGCACCCCCCCAGCCGAGGGATCCCCGGTGCCCCCCGTCCGCGGAGGAACCCCCTGTACCCCCCGACCCCCCGCCAGCGGAGGGACCCCCGGTCCCCACGACCCTCCCGGTACCTGCGGCGGCTCCGGCCGGCGCCTCCCGGAGCGGGGAGGTGGGGCCGGGGGGGGGCGCGGCGCCGGAGCCTTAAAGGAGCCGCACCTGCGGCACGGACGGGGCGGCCCGTGCGGGAGGCGGTGCCCGCACCCTCCAGCCCTTTCCCCGCTTGAGCTGCGGCCCCTGCGCCGCGGGACGCTTCCCTCCCGCACGACTGGGCAGGGCCCGGTGCCCCACGGCCCTGGCTGGGAGCGCAGCTGCTCCCGAAGAGCACAGAGCCCACCGCCACCAGAACTGCGGGGCGCCCTCCCGGGGTCTCCAAGGAGAAGGACTGAAACCCCAGCCGCGCGGCCGTGGTGTCCTCCCGCCGCAAGGCTCCAGCCTCTGCCCTTGTCCTTCGTGGCAGAGATACGGCCACGGCAGGACCCTCGTCACAGCCCACGGCGGCACAGGCAACACGGGAACCTCGAGCACACGCCGCAGGACAAGGCGCGGGGCTCTCACCAGTGGAGAGGTGGCTTCTTGCCACGCAGGTCCTGCGGGGAAGGCCAGCTGGGAGCAGCCCTGAGCAAACGCGAGGACGCAGCTCTTCCCACACTTTCGGCCGCACCCCGGGGCTCCCTTGTCACGGGATTGGAGAGAGAGAGGCTCCCAGCCCTACAGAAGATGAGACACCGACACGGGAAAAAAACATGGGGACGCCAGTGGGAGCTCCCTCATGCGGCAGAGGTTCTCTCCATCAGGGGTACACACACAATGCTTAGAGGGCTTTGGGCTTGCAGGCAGAGGATGCCAGCAGAGGTTTTGCTCTCTGAGCCCCTCCACACACCTCTCTGGGACCTGGCCTTCCCAGGCCCCCATGCTTGCACCAGTGTTCACATTTTAACTGGACACCAACAAGAGAGATGAGAAACATCCTTATTTCTGAAAAAATGTAAGAAGAAGCCAAGATAAACAGCCCTGTTTCCAGTACAATAAAAAATCACATTGGTAAATACGAGCACAAAGCCTGTCCCCAACCTGTTGAAATGAACCCAGCAGGAACCCGAGGTTTTTCAGCCCTGTGGTTCTCTCCTGTGTGGAAACAGGGCTGAAAGTGCCACCACATGTCCAAAATCTGGGCAGCGACTGGCAGAGTTGGGGCAGGACACAGGGAGCTCTCATCCCCATCTCACTGCATCCTCGACCTTGATCCTGGAGGGATCTCCCAGGGGAGCACATCCCTGGGTGCTCTGGGCACAGGGAGGCACTGCTGGGCAGGGGACATAAGCCACATCCAGGCTGGCAGCAGGACACTGCTCCTGGTGCTGTGGTAGCACCATTCCATGGGAGCTGGAGCCCCGACAGGGCCCATTCCCAGCTACGTGGGCAGTGCTGGCCGGCACTCGAGGTCCAGCACGAGGTGATGGACGTGGGGTGCGTAGGACTTCACTGCCTCGATGTGCAGGACCCTGGTGTGCCACGGCCGCCCATGCAGCTCCACCAGCAGCCCCTGGATCCGCGTTGCCGTGGTTTCAGCCCACCTCTGCCACTCGGGTCTGATCCTGGCCCCCACTGTCTTGTTCCCGGTGTCCTCCATTGGATGCTGTGCCTCTGGAGACCCCCACTCAGCTGGCAGGACCGGGGTCGGTGCAGGGGGAGTCTCCACGTTGTGGTGGATGTGGAGAACCCCACCCGTGTCCTTCTTGAGGACACGGCAGGCCACTGGCCAGCCTTCCTCTGAGCTGGGGATCAGCCCCAGGTTCACCCGGTCGGCCGTGTCCTGCAGCTCCAGCTGGGAGGAGAGGGGAGGTGAGGGGATGCCCGGTGCGGAGGGGGGCCCGCGGCTGGGCGGTGGCGCTCACCTGCCGGCTGTCCCCGTGGTGGATGTGGCACCGATCCTGCACCCCGTTCAGTGCCAGGGCCCGGCGCAGGGCCTCCACGGCGTGGACGTTCCACTCACAGGCATGGACAAAGGCGGCTCCCGCGTGAACCAGGAATGGCAGCGTGAAATAGCCGATGCCTGCGGGCAGGAGGTGGCAGTGGCTGAGGGCAAGGACCTGCTGGGGACCCATGCTCCTCCCTGGAGGCAGGGCGGGGTACATGCTGTCACCCCAGCTCTCCAAAACTGCTTTGCTCTGGGTTGGAACGAGCCCAAACACTGGGTAAATGGAAGTTCATCCCTCCCTCCTCTGCAAAAGCAAAATCTGTCTTGAAAAATGTTTAGAGGAGCTTATTTTACCTTCAGTCTCTGGCCATCAGCTCGAAACCTGCCCTGCTTCCACTCTGTGCAGGAGTGCCCAGACTAACATTTAATTAATCCAGAGCAGTTTTGTGTGTGCCACATCCCTTCAGTGTGGCACAAATTGGAAGCACTAACTTCCCTAAGCACAAAACAGCGGCAAATCTTTCCCCTGGATCCAAATGATCCCTTCAAGCAGCAGTGCTCTGCAGAGCCTGAGTGCAAGGTCATCCTAAGTGTTCAAAGGCAACAGGGACATAGGAGAGACAGAAGTGCCAGGATAGCTGAGGGCTCACAAACAAGGTGGGAGCTCTAAGCCTAAGTATTTTTCATTCCAGGCTGGAAATTACATCTGGATGCCATCTGCATCACTGCTCTCTGCCTGCCTACCCTGCCAAAGCCCTTCTCCATCCCCCTTACCTGCATAAAGATCCACCAGGACCTCCCCGGAGCAGGGCAGCGAGGCCACCCGCAGCTTCTCCGTGATGTTTCCCGGTGAGAACATGCACTTGGTCACGTCAAAGGTGTACCTGGAAGACCCCGCCGGGATGGTGAAGGTGGCCCCTTCCCTGTGCCGGCTGCATCCCGCACCGTGGCTCCTGCCTACCTGATCCCATTGTCCACGTGCTCCACCCAGCCGTCCTGGCCCAGCAGCAGGGTCACACTGGGGGTCCGCATCCCATCTGGCAACACCCGTCCTCGCCTGGCTATCCGCCGGGCACCCAAAGCCGAGGCCACCGTCTCCCAGAGCACTGGACCTGGAACACACCCATCCCAGGAGATTTGGGAAAGGCCAGAACAGGTTCTGTGGGCAGGATCAGGGCAGGCAGACCCTGCTCCTCCTTACCCAGGCTCTCCCACGGTGCAGCCCTGAAGCTGTCCTCACTCAGCAGCACCAGGTCCCCGTGCCGCTGCCAGGCGTGGGGCACATCCCGCTCCAGCTCCTCCGACCAGCTCCCGCCCAGCAGCTGCCGCAACTCATCCCGCAGCTTCTGGGCAGGCGCCCGCCGCCGGGATGCCCTGGAGGGGACAGGGTCCTGCTGCAGGGATGTGACACGTGGGGTTGAGACCTCACCGCCCCACGCAGGGCTCGGGGCAAGGGGGCTCTCCCGACCTGGATCTGGACCAGCTCACAGGGCATCTCCAGGGGCAGGCACAGCTGGGAGAGCTTCTCCTCCAGCACGGGCAGGGCCACGCGGCCCCCTGGCACCTGCTGCAGCTGGTAGCGCCTGTCCAGCAGCTGCTCCTCTTCCAAATGCTCCCTGCAAGGCCAAGGCCTGGTCAGGCCCTTCCCAGCTCCGCTGACCCTCCTGGTGCGGGACTGGCCCTGTGACCCTCCTCCCAACCCGTCCCACCATCACGTGCTGGAGCAGCACAGGGCTCCCATTATCCCCTCGCTCCCATTCCCCTCACCTGAGGCGCTGGGCGAGCCGCCGCTCCGTGGCTAGCGCAGGGATGGGGATGGAGATGTCCTTGGCTTCCATCCTGCCAAACCCGGGACGGACGGACTTCACCGGGTGCCAGGGACATCGGAGCCCTGGCTGCTGCCTGGGGGCACTGGGGACTGGGGGCACTGGGGACAGGGTGACCGGGGTGGTGGGGTGCCCTGGGGGTGGTGTCCCAGGGAATGGGATGCTCTGGGTTCGGGCAATACGGATGGGATGGAATGGCGTGCCTGGCAATGGGGCACTCCAGGAGATGGGGTGTCTGAGGCGTAGAGTACTCCAGAGGGGGCGTACCCTAGGGGTGAGGTGTCCCAGGGGATTAGGAGGATTGGGCACCCTGGGAGTGGGGTGCCCGGGGGTCTGATGGGACGGGGTGCCCTGGGATCGGGGCTCTCGGGGATGGGGTGCCCGGGGTGGGATACCCGGGGGACTGTGCCTCAGGGCTGGTGCCCGGAACTGCACCACCGAGGCCGCGGGGCTGCTCCAGGAGCTGGCACCTCCTGACCGGCTGTGCCAGGAGGGCTCCCCAAGGCCACAGTCGGGGTCGCGCTCTCGGTCCGAGGGTCGCGGTCCTACCGGGCGTTTCCCGCCGGAGCACTTTCCGAGAGCGCCGCCGCCATGTGTCTGTGGGCGGAGGCGGAAGCGGGGGGCCCGTGTGTGCGCGGACCGGAAGTGGCCGGCGGCGCGATGGCGGGGCTGTCGGTGCGGGACCCGGCCGTGGATCGGTCCCTGCGCTCCGTGTTCGGTGAGAGAGGCTGGGCTGAGGGACAGCACAGGGGCAGGGACGGGGAAGGGACGGGGCATCAGGCGGGGTCCCCCCCGCCCTTCGCCGTTGGGTCGGTCCCAGCCGCGCTGACCGGCGGCTCCGTCTGTGTCCGCAGTGGGGAACATCCCGTACGAGGCCACCGAGGAGCAGCTGAAGGACATTTTCTCGGAGGTTGGGCCCGTGGTCAGCTTTAGGTGAGAGCGGCCGCTGGCCTCCCCTGCGTCCCCCTGCTCGGCCCCAGACCGGGTTCTGGGAACCGCGGAGTCGGGAATCCTTAACGTTGGAAAAGCCCTCTAAGGCCGTCGAGTCCAGCCATTCCCCCAGCACTGTTACCGCTAAACCACGTCCCCAAGCGCCACATCCACACACCTTCTGAGCATCCCCAGGAATGATGAATCCACTGCTTCCCGGGGCAGCCTATGCCAATGCTTGACAACAAGTGAAGAGGTTTTCCCTAATATCCAGTCCAAACCTACCCTGGCACACCTTGAGCAGAGCAGTGCAGCATCTGAAGGGGGTTGTGAGGCTGTGCCAGCTGTGCTCAGGAACTGAGGGGCTGTGCCTTGGTCACCTGGAGATGGAGCACACGGAGCACAACAGAGGGACATGGGCTGGAGGGGCCACCCTGCTGTGGCAGAGGAGTGCTCAGGCTCTGGGCAGGCTCTGTGCTCCTCACTCCTGTCCCAGTGCCTCCCAGGGGTGTTTCCCGGGTCCTGAAGAGCTCTCAGTTAAGGGCTTGTGAGCTCCGGGAGCAGCCAGTCCCATCCTGTGCCCTTACGAGCTGCCTGGTGGGGTCAGAGTTCCTGCACACCAGAGCTTTGGGAACACCCCTCCCAGAAGCCAGGAGACCCTTTGCCTCTGGCTTAGGGATGACTTAACCAGCCTAAACCTGGCATCAGTGCCTTCACTGCTCCCAGCACATCCGTGGGGTGTATCCCAGCAGCTCCTCCCTTGCTTTGGGAGCTGTGGGTGCTGCTGGGTGCCCACCCTGCCCTCAGCAGAGGTGTCCCTCCCCTCCCTGCACAGGCTGGTGTACGACAGGGAGACAGGGAAGCCCAAGGGATATGGGTTCTGTGAGTACCAAGACCAGGAGACGGCGCTGAGCGCCATGAGAAACCTGAACGGGCGCGAGTTCAGCGGGAGGGCCCTGCGCGTCGACAACGCCGCCAGCGAGAAGAACAAGGAGGAGCTCAAGAGTGAGTCTGAACTCTGGGGTGGGCCTGGCCCTGGCAGTGCTGCAGAGCAAGGTGGTGCTCTCCTGTGTGGCTGTGAGAGCTGACTTGTTCTAAGGGGTGTTGTGAGTGGCTCCCCAGAGGGGTGCATGGGCTCAGTGATGTGTTTTCACTCCCAGGTGACCACTGGGATCTTTTAGATTGGAAAAGATCTCTTAAGATCAAGTCCAAACTTTGACCAAACACCACCTTGTCAACTAAACCACAGCACTAAGTGCCACATCCAGTCTTTTCCTAAACACCTCCAGGGATGGTGACTCCGCCACCTCCTTGGGCAGCCCATTCCAATGCTTGACCACCCTTTCTGTTAAGAAATTTCTCCTGATGTCTCCCTGTTTTCACTGCCCCCCCTTTCCCCGTAGTAGGGTGGTGCTCCCCTCCTCATGACCCCACTACCCACTGTCGGTTCATTTTGCCATACAAGGTCACCAACTGTGTTTCAGGCTTGGGCACAGGTGCCCCCATCATAGAGTCACCCTACGGGGATCCTGTGAACCCCGAGGACGCTCCCGAGTCCATCAGCCGAGCAGTGGCCAGCCTGCCCCCCGAGCAGATGTTCGAGCTCATGAAGCAGATGAAGGTGAGTGCAGGAGGGCACAGCTCCCACTGCCACTGCCCCGTCACACCTTGTCAGAGCTCTAACCCATGCATGTCTTCTCAGCTGTGTGTCCAGAACAGCCCCCAGGAAGCCAGGAACATGCTGCTGCAGAACCCCCAGCTGGCCTATGCCCTGCTGCAGGCCCAGGTGGTCATGAGGATCGTCGACCCCGAGATCGCGCTGGTTCGTCCCTTGCTGCTCATCCGGGGTCGGGAGCGTGTCAGTGGCAGCCTGTGTGGAGTGGGAGTGGGAAAGAACTTATTTCTCCTTTTTCTTCCCCTAGAAAATCCTACATCGCCAGACCAGTGTTCCTCCTCTGATCCCAGGCAACCAACAGCCAGTGCCAGGGCCAGGACCTGGGCCAGGACCAGGGCCTGGGCCAGGGCCCAACACGCAGCTGAACCCACAGAACACCCCCTCGTCCCAGCCACAGCCCATAGTAAGAGCCTGCACGACACATGAGCTGTGCAGGGAAGATGGGCAGTGCCAGCTCCAGCTCTTCCAGCTGGGGTGCATACCTGGGTGACCAGACATCCCTGAACTCCAGTGTCTCTCCTGGCAGGGTGGGATGCATGTGAACGGCGCTCCTCCTCTGATGCAGCCGCCCATGCAGGGGGGAGTGCCGGCCCCAGGGCAGATGGCAGCTCCTGTGCAGGGCCCAGGACCCGGACCCATGGCTCCAGGAGGTGAGTTTGGGCTGAGGCACCCCACCTGTGGGCACACAGGTCCTGCAAACACCCCCCTCTGCCTTCCCCCTGACCGGAGGGCTTGGCCCCATGAGAGCACATGTGGTCCCATACCTCACGCTGTGGTTGTGGCTGCTGCCAGTGGCAGACTGGAATGTTGGATTATCTCTGGGGGGGGACCAACACCAAGGAAATAAACCTGCAGATACACCTCCAGGAGCTGGGAGGGGGGGCAAAGGAATGGGTTAGTGGTGCAGGGATGGCTGAGGAGGGGTCTGATCTCTGCTTCTCCTCTCCCAGGTGGGCTGCAGCCACAGGTTGGGATGCCGGGTGCAGGGCCTGTCCCCTTGGAGCGCGGACAAGGTAAAACAGACGTGGTTGGTGCTGTGTGTGGGGTGAGCCTCCCTCCAGCGGGGCCCAGGCTGTGGGTGCTGAGCAGTGCAGCACCCAGAGCCCCTGCCAGCCACCTGCAACCTGGCTGTGCCTGCCCCTGGGGCAGCTCCACAGTGCTGGGCTGTGGTAGCACAAGGCTTAGCCACAAGGCTGTGGTAGCAGCTCTCTGGCTCCCAGGACTCAGCCCGCGCACTGGTTTGCTCCCAGCTCGTTCTGTGCTATGCTGTGCAGTTGTGCCCTGGAAGCCAGGGAGAGCTGCCAAGCCCCGCCGAGCGGGATGTGCCTGTGTTTTCCATCTTTGCGAGCCCCTGTCTGTCCCTGTGCTTGTGCGGGCAGGCAGAGCTTGCTCTTCTCTGGTCCCTGTCCTGCTCCTTTGCTGCATGCCTGCTGGGAAGCAGCTGGTGCGGCCACTGCGTCCTCCCCCGCCGTGCCCAGCAGAGGGAGCTGGGCCTCCGCTTTGGCTTGAGGCTTGGCTGGGAATTTCCCGGGGAGTGACGGCTCGGCTTTCCCTCCGCAGGCACGGTCTGTATGGCCCAGCCCCGTAGCTAGATTCCTTATGGTTCACGTGTTGCCATGTGCCAGGGCTAGGGAGACCTGAGCGTTCTTGTTCTCCCAGTAACAAAGCATGCAGGCACCTGACACTCCTGTTGTCTTGATTTGTATCCTAGCCTTGTTTCAGGAACGTGGTCTGAGATACTTTGGCCTTAGGGGTAGTTGACTCTTGTTTTCTTTGGAGTGAGCAATGTCTTCCTGAGAACAGCCTGGTAGTTCTTGGCACCTGAAAAGTTTTGGAGAGCAGAAACTCTGGGCAGAGGCAGAAGCAGGAGCTGGCTGGCTGTGTGTTGTGGGGCCATCGTGGCTCCACAGAGTGCCACGTCTTTTGGCAGGTTGTCTTCCTTCCCTGCCTCTCTCCCTGAGCAAGGGAAGGACTGTGCCACGCTGGCTGCGCTGCCTGTGGTGACAGAGGTGGTGTTAATGGAAGAGGTCGATAAAGCCAGATCTGCAGCATCTTCTCTGTAGGTTTTCCTGGGGACTTTAGGAAGTGTGATCCTTCAGGCAGCACTGTCCCCAAGGCTGGATGCATGTGTGCACACACTATTTACGTGTCTGCTCTTTCCCTCTTTTCCTGCTGCTTGCCCAGGGAACCTGCAGCTCTCGCCCGTGGGACCTGCCAGGCCTGCGTCTATCGAACGCGTCCAAGGTATCCCAGCACCCGCCAGCTCCCTCCTCCCATGGAGCTCATTGTGGAGTGTGCAGAGAGCAGCTTTCACCCCACTATGCTGAGGCCTGGGGACTGGCATATCACTCCCTGGCAGGGTTAAGATGAGGAGGAGGAGGCAGGATTTCCTTTAGGGCCGTAGAAGAGAACAGTCTAGAGCCATGCATGGAGCCTCCAGTGGAAAAGGAGAGCCTGTTCGGAGAGGGCTTTTGCCTAGGGTCCAGCCTCCTTTGACACTGCACTTCCAGGAGTCTTCCAGGTCTTGCTTTACTCCTGGCCCCACGTCAGCAGGGTGTTGATGCCCACGCTTGTAGGGATTGCCATGGGAGCACCCACGCTTGGTTTGACCCCTGGTGCCATAAGGAGCCTGAGGTAGATCCAGGGAGGAAAAAGAGAGGAATAAAATCAGGAGCCAGGAAAGGGGCTTTGGTGTGCTCCAGCCTTGGGTGTGGGGCTGCCTCCCCAGCAGTGCAGCCGACCCACACCCGGCCCCAGAGCGCCGGGGACGGTCTCGGCACGGCACTGGTCGTGCAGATCCTCACGAGCTCTTGTGTGTCTCCCTGGCAGTGCCCATGCCAGACCCGAGGGCCCCTATGCAGCGTGGACCTCTACCTGCTAGTGGCCCGCCGCCCCGAGGCCTTTTGGGAGATGCCCCGAATGACCCTCGCGGAGGGACCCTGCTCTCAGTCACTGGAGAAGTGGAGCCCAGGTGAGGGGAGAGGGAAGGAGAGGAA